GCTCTCCAAGCCGCCTCGGCGAGAGGCCATCAAGATATTGTCAAACTGCTTCAAAGAAGGAGCGCTATTATATTGTCTTTACAGCGCTTCAGCTCTTAATGCCTACACGCAGCTTAGGAACTTTTGAACCTGCCGCATCGTCGTCACTACGATGTCTCCTAGGAAAACACGCAGACCAAAGCTTCCACTGTTTAGGCTAAGGTGCCTTGCTCGTGCAGTCAAAGTGGCTCAGCGGTAGGAGACGTTCACAAAATTAAATTTGGATACCGTTGTAGTTTCTCCGGCTGTAGCGGCTCCCACGAGAAAGTCATCACAGGACCGCCCTATGCCTCCTCCAGAACGGCATCTTTCGGGAAAAATGTAGAAGTAAGCCCCAGGATATATACGAACATTTCATGGGAGTTCTACTTTCATCAAAGTCCAATTGCTCGTTGTCCTGGTGTGGGATGCGCACGGCGGCACTTTGAATGCCACCGAGGCCTGACGCTGAAGAACCCACGCCAGCAATCAGGACAGCAATACATCTGTGAAGCGTACGCGGCGACGAGGGCTGCCCGGAACGCGGGGACACCGTCTCGATTGTCTGGATATCAACGACCGCCGAGAACGAACTGGAGATAGCCAAGGGAAAAGCAAAGGAGGCAATCCAGCGGCACGCTACCTTACTGGCCCAGGAGCCTGGAATGCGATCAACAACGCTCCGTGTCGCGAGCCAAGCGAGCGTCGACCAAGTCCTTGCCAGAGAAAGTGGGTAGGTACTCCAAGAGAGTCGACTCAGCGTTATCAGGCAAACACACCCGACTACTATGCGGCCACCTGTCGCGGAAAGAGGCCTGTGTACTCGCTCAGCTTAGGACTGGCACGGTCGAACTCAACTCATACCTCCATCGCATCCGAGCGGCATGGCCAGACCAGTGTACGTGCGGAAAAAGCGAGAGAGACGGTGGACCACTTTATGTTTCAATGCAGGCAATGGACTGAACACCGGGCAGAGATACTCCAATGCACAGATATCCACAGGGGTAACCTCTCCTTCTTCCTAGGAGGGAAGTCGCCCTCGGATGGCAAGAACTGGTCCCCGGATGTGCAAGCGGTGCGGGCAACTATACGGTTCGCAATGGCTACAGGCCGTCTGGACGCAGACAAACCACAGAACAGGACAATATAAACCCGTCACTACTAACCTACCACTACCCATCTCGTGCTACGCCGAGTAAGCACGCTTCAACCGCCGAGGATAGGACGTTGAACACTTGAAGAATAGACTTCAAGCTGGCTTACTCATGATACTGACTTGCGAGTACCCGCAGAGAGCAGGGCAGAAGGTTGAGGGGCATAAGGCACAGAATGATGTTGCATGGGCTTTAGGAGACCAGGATCCATCTTGGGAAATGTACTCGTAAATATGTGATACGATGCGGGTCCGAAAGTCTGGATCCAAGCTGCCCCGCACCCCAAGCCCCTCCATTTACCTCAGCACTTAACAAAGGATATTGAAGGAACTACTAATCTGACGAGGAATTCGATTGTATTTGCTAGAAGCCAAGGTTCTGAGCTTCAATACCGTGTATACTACCCTCGAGCCTTTTTGACAGCAGCTAGCCTTCTTGGCATACTGTCAATCAGGCCATCAACATAGGCCTGCGGCACAGCACCCCATGCCTTCAAGCACACAGTGAATTTATCGATATCGAGTTGGCTTTGCTTGTGCCCAGAGGTCTAGGAAGGTTTTTTTGCAAATACCCCGTCATCCAGGCCCAGACATGCTCAATTGGGTTAAATCAGGACTGTGAGCAGGCCATTCGATCCAGGAGATAGCCCGAGAGCAGAGCCATTCCTCCGTCGACTTGCAGATATGAATTTTCGCATTGTCTCGCTGGAAATGCCGTGTCACGGCACTGGACCACCGATCCCTATGTCACGTGGCACATTGCACTTAGCTTCAGGTTCACCCATCCATAGCTTCCTTTCCTCTTCATAGAGCAACGCAGTTATCATCCCAGACCTACTATGGTCCTGTGACATGCCGTGTTTCGTCGTAATTCGGAAGAAGGCCCTCCTTGAGAGCATCTTGGTAGGATTTAGCTGTATATCCTTGGTTCTTTGCAGTCTTATCGCGAACCATCACAATGAGGTCGCTCTTCCCTCCCTTCCAGGTCATTCCCCATACCATAATGGTAATATTCGCCTTCACATGGTTCCGGAGCTTGACGAATCGAGGGTCGAACTTCTCAGAAGGGAAACGAAATACCCAGGCAGTCGGATTTGGGGTGCTGTTTTGGCAATACTAGTTCCTACGTGACTCAATGTCGGTGCAGAAAGTTCAAAATAAAGATGCAAATCACATTTAGACAAACGTATATGTACAACGTTGCTCACCGTATGGAGAATATTAGCTCATTCAACGTTAGCGTGTTCAATAAGCTGGCGGCCGAGAAAAAGGGGAAGTGACTTGAGCACCTGAACCCTGCTGCTCCCACGGTCAAATCTTCAGCTCAGTTCAAAACCGTGAGTCTTTGCCCTGCTAACCCAAGCCAGGGACCAAAAAGAGCAAGCAAAAGCCTTCTGTTGAACTGAACTGGCTCCTTGGCACCTGGATTCAGGGGCTGGGCACTGTTGCCCAATGCAGTAAGCGTGGAAGACTCGTCACCCACCCAAAAGCAGGGTCTGGCGAGGGTCCCGAAGACCCTCGGTTCTTCAAGCAACACACACACAAGACACACTGTTCAGACAGCCAATTCAAGTTTCATCTTGTGCCTCAATTGATGCAGTGTCACCTGGTTGGTCTATGCCTCTTCGAACCTGTAACTGTTGCTATCCAACACTCCTGGAACGCCTGATTTTGGGTGATCATCGAAACCGCTCAAGGCAGACACTTACCCATCGCGTTTCGTCCCCAGAATACCGATGGAAGCCAAGCCAGAGCTCGCAGAGCTCTATCGGCGCGCCGTCGCCGACCCCCACTCTATCTCGCGCGCCGAACGCAACGCCATTTGGGGCCACCCACCCCCCGAGGAGGAAAACCGGCTGTGCGTCGCCAAGACGGGCCTAACCCGCGCCGGGCTGGTGGCCAAGGCGGCCGCGCCGCCGGACGAGCTCACGCTGTGCGAAGCCAAGATTATCTGTCATCATCGCGGCGTGAACTTTGATGACAAAGCCGAAGAGGCCGCGCCGATCACTGGCATTGTTGACCGCCTTGATCGGCTCGAGGTGGCGCTGTTGGAGTACATCAGGGTTTGCAAGAAGAAGCCCACGCCGCTGGAGAAGCTCTACAACGAGGCACTGGCGCGATTATGCGCTGTCCGCTCACCTGAGGAAACCACCGCCTTGACGAATGCCCTGAAGCGAGAATCCGAACTTGCAATGGCTGATTCGGAGGCCAACGAGATATAGTGGCGAGAACACGAAAAGGCGAGGATCGTAAAGGTCGGCACGCCCTGGATAAGGAAAATGCTTGAAGCTGGTCTGCTTGAGGAAGGCGCCGAGTACTGGGGCTTCGTTGTCTTCCGCACCGGATGCTACCACGGCGAAGAGAACGAGGCCTTGTGGCAGAGGTTCCGCGATCACTTGCTCAAGGTGGCCGAGACATCGGTGCTACACTGGTATAGCGGGCCCGAGCTGTGGCCTTCGCTCCGCATTGTCTTCGTTGAGGACAAGGAGTTGAAGGGTGCGTCGAATGAGCAGCTGCGCATCTGGTTCCGGAAGATGCGTGACAGAGCCGGAGGCGAGCAGCATCTACCTAAGGGGATCAGGACCAAGTGCTTCCTCGTTGCCGATGAGGCAGTCATTAGGAGCGAGGCAGCCCAGACGCCATATACACCGAGGTGCAAGTACATGGACGTTCCAGAGTTCGGCGTGGAGATCCCTAGACGAGGATCCAGTGGTATATATCCGCGCCGTCGACCCGGATTACGTGTCTCCTGGCAATCCTGCTGCTCCTGCTGAGGGAACCAAAGAGGACACTCCGGACAAGGTCCCTGGAACCCCGACCAGCAGCAACAGTTTGTCGGCTGCTCCGGCATACATGATTGCGATGGCAAAGCAGGTGGAAGAGGAGACGGCCGCTTTCAAAGGCGAGGCGACGGTCGCGCTTCCACGCGTCTTTGACTGGCTGCACCGCGCCTGTTTCCTCGCCGAGCGCGGCATCAAGTATACCCAAAGGGATGGTCGAGACGGGTGGCACACAATCCATGTGCAAACCAAGAAACCGGAAGCATGGGTTCGCAACTGGGTGCCACGGTCGGGCGGGATACATTATGCAATCGATGTCAAGCCTTTCCCCATTCCCCCCTGAGGTCCTCCGTACCCCTGGGACGGACGTCCGCTCCTGTTTGACCTCGACGGCCCCATCTCACCGACCGAGCAGGTCACATTCTATGGCCTGCTGCTTTCTTGCCGGCCCGTCTACAACGAGGCATCGGCATTGCTATTTTCGTCTAACAGATTCGTCATCCACTACAGGAACAAGCGGTCGCTGCAGCCGCTGCGGAATCTCACGCCCCCGTCGCTTGCTTCCCTGACCAGCCTCAAGATAGTGCTCAACCAAACCTCCTGCCACCACCGGAGGGAAGCGGAGGCGTTCGGTAAATGCTGCACCTACGCCGGGTTTAAAGGGACGGCCGCTGAGGGGTACTGTCAGAGAGACCACGAGGATCTGCACGACACTCCACTTCAGAGCTCCGACTTGTCAGCGGGATTGATGTTTGATGAATGGCGTGGAACAGCCGTCTACTTGTCCTCGAACACCAAGCCCCGCGTCCTTCAGCTCTTATTGGTCTGCGATGTTGGCCAGAAAGAAGTCGAGGCAGCAGAACAGGCAGTTGCACCACTCCTTCTCCTCCCAGAGCTCAAGGACTGCCATGTTCGGCTTTGCAGCAACCCGAATACCCAGCTGCGCCAACTCGCGCAGAATGCAGCTCTGCAAGCCAGCCGCAAGCTAGCCCCGGAGCCCGCGTCACAATCGTCGTGCTCTCGCCTTCTTAATCTTCCACGGGAGCTACGCATTCGCATCCTCGAATACACTGACCTTGTAGCTAGGCGGAGGTAAGCCCGTCTCCCTACATCTAACCTCATCACCGGCGCGCCCGGCGATTTACCTTCTCGATCTATGCCGATGACTTGCCATGGTTAAGGTAGGGGTCGGTGTCTTGGTAGGCTGGGCATGACACAGGGGAGATGCTTCAGTATCAAGCCAGGAGTGGGACAATGACATACATTTAGACGGGTAGCATGCTCGCCATGTTCGAGTCGTTTTCAGGTACCTTCCCAACAGAGAAGGTCTTTTCAGCATCAAAAATCGGCCTTCAAGCCCATGGCATAGCCCCTGTGGTTAGCGACCACTCTCTTCCCAAGCTCATCAACAAAGTCACAGCTGAAGTGTGTATGCCCAAACGCCCTCATCACCCCAGATGGATTGCTCCAGCACTCTTGGTCACTGAGGTCCGTCGCGAAGCCCGAAGCAACAGAACTGTCCCTGTGACGTTCGTCCACAGCTCTCGAGTCCAACGTCGGGCTGTGGTGCGTGAAGAGACAATCTGTCTCTGGGATTGAGCTCACATATCCCCTGCACCTGAGCGTTCAACCATTCCACGTCAAATTTATGGGCATCGACGTGGTCCGCAACAGTCCACTTCTGGATTTGGCTGAAGTCAATCAAGCAACTGGCACGGCGGCCGCTGGATCCTGCGTCACTCGCGAGAACGGCGTACAGCTAAGCACGGTGACGCTATCTTTTTAAGGTCGTACTGCGTCTGGTCGAGGAAGACGAAGCGGCCTATGGAGGTTTGGGCCCGGAGCTGGTCCATCCTGAGGGCGAACGCGCAAACTCTTTGTTTGGCGGCGGCCTACTGCCCAGACTGGTTCGTGGTTCCCGAGGAGGAAGAACACGTTCCAGTACAGGCGGATCTGGCCCTCGCGGAAGTCGAAGAGGGCGTCGTCTGCCACGTGCGCAACGTCGCCGAGCAGAGCTAGATCGGGAGCGGTCTGTTTGAACTGGTAGTCACAGGACGGATGGGTCTCGAGAGGCAGATCAGAGACGATCTGGAATGTAGTCGGGGACGTCTCGTCCGCTTCCAAGAGGGGATGAGGTCAGCAGAACAAGGCTGGTCTGGATGACATTTGAGGGTGTCCTACCTATGCAGGCGCGGGAAGGTGCTTCGCTTCAATATGAGTAACGCCCGTCAATCAGGGTTTCTCAATTCAGCGGGAACAAACGCAGCTCAAGACAGCACTGGCATGACCGATATGGAACTTCAAACAAGTGCCTGACAACCTGACTTGTTGCGGATCAACCGGTGGTGGATATGGAGGGTTGTAATAACAGCCATGTTCCTCATAATCCGATCGAGCTGGTTCGGACGCGGTCGGCGCTAAGGTCTTACTCCTAAGTCACGGCATGGGGATGCAGGGAGTGAATCCCAGGGCGTAGCTAACGTATGTATCCAACTCGGTGCGAATGTTCTCAACAGTCCGTCTGCGACCAGCAGCAGTACTACGGAATACTGTGATAGCAAGGCGTGAAAAACACTGAACTTGACGTCGGTTTCATAGGGCTGCAGGCCTCGGCTGGCAGTGTTGTTGTGGCGAGTCTTCGACATGTCGAAATATAGCCGTGTAGCGTGCAGGCCGGGCTGAGAGGGAAACCTCAGTCAGGTTGAGGTGAAGTTGGTGTTGGAGGGGTGATGTGGTTTCGGTTGCGTTTTGCGTCCATTTTGGGACTCGATATTTGTGTGGTTAATTTCTAGGCATGTGAGATGACGTCTCCGGCAAAATGCAAAGGGGTCTGAGCGCCCTCACGCAGCTTCAGGCCCTGCGAGCCAATGAAACGGACGGATTCCCTGACTCGGTTGCTAGCGCGCGTTGGACCCGGGGTTCGTCCCGAGTTTTCCATCTCGGGTCCTAACGCCGATCGGCCGACTCCGATTTCGATACCTGTGATTAAAGAATACCAAAGGTGATGAATTTTGTGATTACGATGGTCTACGTACTTTGTGTTCTTACAATACGGTCAAGGAGTGTTGCGGCATGATGGTTCCTGGAGTGTGAAATCGAGTCACATTCGAGTTTCACCCCGAACGTCTCGGTGACCGACCGTGCGACAAGGGACCATTTGTTGGTGGGTCGAGGAAAAGAGGGGTTTCGCACCGACAACAACGCTGAGGGAATGGTGAGAATAGGGAGCAAGGCAACGGGCTTTTTCTTGTCGCATCTTTTCAATCGACCAACTCGGCATCCTTGTCGCACACCCTCTCGATCCTTTCTTCCCTCTGTGTTCCCTCAGGTGTCGCTCACCGGTGGCAAGGCTGGAAATTAGTTGTGGGGCGTCGCTAAACGCTGAGGCCTGGAACTCTCTCAGCCCCTTTCGGTCTCGGGCAGCCCCGGTCGAGAATCTCTCTTCTTTTCAGTTCATCGGGCAACACATTGAGGTCTACGGGTGGAACTGACCTCCATGCACTCTCCGGCTCCCCACCTGGCTTGACAGTCGTGGACCGTGGAATCGGCACCTGGAGACAGCACAGACCCGTCCCAACCTAAGGACCCGATCGCGGATCGATGCACGCCCCGAGTTTGAGTGGTCGCACACACCAGCGGGGTTTGTCGGAAGTCGACTGCATTCGGCAACCGCTCCGCGGCCTTCAAACACGAGTCCAGCCCCTAACAGCGTTCCCGGAGCGTCAGCCGGACATGGGGTAACATGTGTTAGCTGGTGCCCTTTCACCCAAAGCAGGGACTTTCACCACTTATCGCAACGTCTTCCCGGTGCCGATCTCTGTTCCTGTGCTGCTGACTGGTCCGGGTGAAGTGATCGCTCGCCTTGGCAGGCCATCCCCGTCCAGCGCCGGCCCCTCCTCCTTGTTTCCCCAGATTTCCGCTCTCAGCAAGAGTCAGAACTCTGCACAACCTGGTCTGCCATGTGGTTGCGTTCGCCTGCTCACCATGTCTGCGGCATACCATTTCTGTTAATTGCCTTGCCGCCCGTTGTCGCCTTCCCGCTCCCCGTTCCCCGGTTTCCCCTCCCATCGGTAACCTTGGCCACGCAGGGTTCCGCCAAACATGACCGGACATCCACCATGATACTCAAACCCGGTGTCGTGAGAGCATTGCCCAGCGATGAAGGAGATGCGACAATCTTCCCGCAGACCAACATCGCCATCTGGGTCCTGACGGCCGCCTCGGGCGCCTTCCTCGCCCTCCGCCTCGGCTGCCGCCAGCGCTTCTCCAAGCTGTGGTGGGACGACGGTTTGCTGTCCTTGTCATGGGTACGCAGACTCTTTACCACGTGCAAAGAACGGCAGACTCTAACACGTTGACTATCACAACAGCTGATCCTGTTGGTTGCGGCCGCTCTCCTGAGCCGCACCATCTCGGCCGGGTACGCCACCGAGGATGCAAAGCGCACCTTCTTCCTCTACCAGAACACGTCAAACTGCATGACGACCCTCGCGACCGCCTGGTCCAAAGTCGCCTTCGCCATCACCCTGTCCCGCATCGTACGAAACCAGTACCTGCGCTACTTCCTCTGGTTCGTCATGGTGACGGCCAATCTGATCCTCGTCATCGCCATGGTGGCCATCTGGATCCCGGCTTGCACCGACCCGAGAAGGGTCCTCCGGCCGGAGCATACCCGATGCCTCGACCTCAAAGTCCTCCAGTACCTCGGCGGCACAACCATTGGTACGATTCTCACTCCACCCTCTGACCAGCTTGGCTCGGTTGTCTTAGAGGGGCTCGCGAGCTGACACTCTACAGTGTACGGCGGCGTCATTGACGTCTTGCTTGCCCTCTTCCCGTGGTTCATCATTCGAAAACTGCTGTTGGACACGCGCGAGAAGTTGGGTCTCACGCTCGCCATGAGCCTCGGTGCCATCACAGGCACCGTCGTCATTTTTCGCGCCTTTTTCACGCTCAGGGATATCGACAACAACTACCGTACGTCTCGTTCTGCATCCCCTGTCCAGACGCCTTCCACAAACTAATAAGTGACCTCCCATCTAGACAATGTCGTTTTCATGTCCATCTTCAACTTTTTAGAGCCGGGTATCACCATCATCGCCCAGGCCATCCCAATGTTCCGCGTCCTCCTGGTCAATGTCAGGAAGAACTCCAATGCTGTCCGCATCAGCTCGCCATCAGGCGTCCACCCGTCGGGCTCGGTGCAACATCGGACATGGAACAGCAAAGCCCGGGATCGTCATCGCGAGCCGGACGAGGAGCTGTTCCAGGTCCGTGTCGGCCCAGGCGGCAGGATCATTCAATTGGCAGGCCCTGACGATTCCGGGAGTGATAAGCTCGATGATACAAAGTAGCAAAATACCAACAGAATTGTTCAAGTCTTCCGAGTTATGGGTCTTGATGCGGGATGGCCCTCCGATGACAACCCTGTCCACCCTCCCTGTCAGACGGCCGAACACAACTCCGACGCTGAGGCTGAGTGTCCTACGCAATCGCGGCAATAACGTCAGGTCCCTTTTTGGAGGATTGCCAAGCACCCCCGATCCCCTCTTTGTCCTGATGGAGAGTTGGCGCTCGACGCCGCCCCTGAGCGTATTGATCGGAAGTGCCGGCACATGGAGACGGTGACGAAGCCAGTGCCTGGGTGGGTCTCACGGGCCTGGGGCGAACTGGATTGGTTTATCATCATTGGAACGCTCGGTTGCGAGGTCGGATTCAATACGACCAGTCCGTCAGCAGGCTGACCTCAACACCATGAGGGCAGGGGTTGCAGATGTTACGCAACTCCCTAAGGGATGGAATGAGCATGATGACCATGAAAGGGTCAGTATAAATGAAGGCCGTCGGGCCTCCGGAATCTGGTTCCAAGATCATCCAGCAGTCCTTGGCATCGATTTGCCATAATCACATCAGCTATCTGTATTCTGAATTGTTGCGCCATGAGGAGTGTTTCCCTTGTAACCGTCGCACTTGCGATGCCCCTGGCGGCGGCCTCTACCTGTCACCCTCCGAAGTGGACGGTGGGCCAGACAGTCCTAACCACCAGCGGTCCGGTCGAGGGGCACGCCGCAGCTGTAGCTTCAGAGGTTTCAGAGTACCTCGGAATTCCCTATGCCCAACCGCCCGTAGGCAGTCTCCGGTTCCAGCCGCCGGTCCGCTACAACGGGACCCAGAGGGTCGACGGCAAGAACTTCGTAAGTCTTTAGCAGTCTCCTTATGTTCCCGTACCCTAGGCTGAGAAGATGCAATCAGGGATTTTCGTGCATACCCTCCAACCTCACCGCCTTTGACGCGGAGTACCCCCAGGAACTAATCGAGCAGTTTGGCATCACCGACGTCGGGCTCGAGCTGATCAAATCCATCAACAACCCGGGTATTCCGGTGAGCGAGGATTGCCTGACGCTGAATATCTGGACCAAGCCCCAGACGGGCGAGAAGCGCAAAGCAGTCATGGTGTGGGTGCACGGGGGGACTTTCATCTCAGGTGAGCTCTTGCGGGATACCGACCTTCATCAGCCAGCTCTAACAAGGCCCGCAGGAAGCTCCGCCGTGCCGGACTACAATGGCCAGTTCTTTGCCGAGCAAGAAGACGTTGTCTTGGTCACCATCAAGTGAGCACCTACCTGGTCCTCCACACTGTCGACTTGGTCTCTGCTGACATCTCAGTTACCGCGTGAGCTTCTTTGGCTTCCCCGGCAACCCCCACGGGCCGCAGAACCTCGGTCTGCTCGACCAGCGCCTTGCAGTCGAATGGGTCCGCGACAACATTGCCGCGTTTGGCGGCGATCCCTCGCGCATCACTCTGTTTGGCGAGTCGGCTGGCGGTGCCTCAGTTGACCGTAAGTCCAGCACCACCAATCCTCCAAGACCAAGAAACCGCAAACAACGGGAACTAACCCCGCCAGACTACACCCACGCCTTCGCCTCCAACCCCATCATCGCCGCCGCCATCTCCATGTCCGGCACCGTCACGGGCATCCGGCCTCGTCCGGCCGCCGACGCCGCCTACATCTGGTACAACACCACGACGGCCCTCAACTGCGGCGACGCCAGCACCACCCCTCCCTCCCAAATCCTCTCCTGCATGCAATCCGCCACCCCGCACCAAATCGTCGCCACCCTCCGCAACGTAATCAACTCCCCAATCCCAATGCCCTACTCCCCGACCGTCGATGAGACGCTCGTCTTCTCCTCCCCGCAAACCCACCCCGTCGCAATGATCCCCCTACTCATCGGCAACAACGACAACGAAGCAGGTCTCTTCCGCGTCTTTCTCCCGCCGCTCTTCCCAGACAATGTCACAAGGGAAGAAGAGTTCTGGCACGGGGACAACCAGTCCAAATTCAGCTGCCCCGCGGGCGCCAGGGCGGCGCGCAGTGCGAGGGAGGGGAACCCGACGTGGCGGTATCGCTGGCACGGGGTGTTTGCGAACACGGAACTGGCGACCAGGCCGCCGAGTGGTGCGTATCATTATAGTGAGGTTGGGGTGTTATTTGGGACGTTGAAGGGGAATACTAGAGAGGAAGAGACAGTTGGGAGGTGGATGAGGGGTGCTTGGGGCGCTTTTGCGAGGGATCCGGTAAAGGGATTGGAGAGGTATGGACGAGGAAAGGGGAAGGGGTGGCCTAGGTATGACGAGGAAGGGAAGACGTTGGCGAGGATTGGGTTGGAGGGACGGGAGGTGAGCTTTGTGAGGGGGGACTTTTATGATGCAGGGTGCTGATTATATGGGATATTTAAAACTGGGGCTGTATTCGATGGAAATATGAATGAAGCATGTTGAAAGTGCCTGAGAGTGATGAGGGAGATAGGAGAAAAAGGTTGAAGACATAGTCGAAGGGAGGTGTTAAAGAGGGAGGTAATGGGCCCGCGAGAAGTGTTGAGAGGCAGTAAGCCACCTGGTGATGGATAGCCTTTCCATGTCTGGTGTCTCAGTGTCAACAAACCTCTACTGTGTAATTCTAGTACATTCGTCTCGAATTTCAACTGAAAACCAACCAACCAGATGAGGGCATTGCAAGACATCCGCCACCAGCAACAAGCCCAACAATTGAATTTGGCTGAGAACTGTCTCCTTCTCCAACCGTCCGAACTCTTTGTCTTCTCTTCGCGTCAGCACGTGCAACCGTGTCCCGATTTATAAGCAGGGCATCCGCGACGCGTCTTGGCGGACGGTGGCTGACCCAACCGTGGCAGCGTGCTGTCTTGGCCGCAGATTTCTAAGCGCCAAGCTTGGCACGATTCCCCTGAACTCCATATGAGCTTTCCGAAAATGGTAAACAAAGAACATGTCGTGCATAGAGGCTCACAAGTACGGACATGTAAACGCATTCATCGCATCGGCATGAGTCAATGCCGGTCTTTTATCCTTGTAAATGATTATGAATCGAGATATGCGAAACGGGATGGAAGAGTATGGACTGTAGCATTTTTGAAATTCTACTGCTGAGATGGGGCGTTTCGATGGGCATGAGCCATCAAAGGCTTGCGTTTCTTTGCGACAAATGAAGTATAAAGCATTCAACATCAACCTTCGACATCACAACTTTACCAGCAGCGGCCAGCTTCAGCAGACAAACACAGCTCGAACATCCAGTCAACAAACAAGCACTCAACACAACACACCCTCTTCACTCTCACCAACTACAACAATGGCCACCGTCACAGCTATCGGCATCGGCAACATGGGCTCCGCCCTAGCCCGCACCCTCCTCAAGGGCCCGTCGGCCCCTCAGCTCACCATCTGGAACCGTACGGCCGACCGCCCCCTCGTCAAGTCCCTTGTCAGCGAGGGCGCGCACTTCGAGCCGTCCATCACGTCGGCCATCGCCCGCAGCGACATCCTCCTCATCTGCCTCTTCGACTATCCAACCATCTACTCAGCCTTCTCCCCGTTGGCAGACGCTTCCTCCTCCCAGCCCCTGACCGGCAAGACCGTCATCAATGTGACCAACGGCACGCCGCGCCAGGCGCGCGCCATGGAATCCCACCTCAAGTCCCTCGGCGCATCCGCCTACTTCGACGGCGGCATCATGGTTACCCCGCAGCTCGTCGGCACGCCCGCGGCGTTCGTCGTGCTCAGCGGCGAGACGGAGCAGGCCTACACGGCACTCGCGGCGGCCCTGCTCAAGCCCATCGGCATGGTGCAGTACGTCGCCGAGGACCCAGGCGCGGCGTCGCTCTACGACGTCGCTGCGCTCGCGGGCATGTACGGCATGTTTATTGGATCGATGACGGGTATGGCGCTGCTCAAGAAGCAGAAGCTGCGCAAAAAGGCTGGTCAGGAGGATAAGGAGGCGGGCAAGGTGCTGGTGAAGCCCGCGACGGACGGGGTCATGGTGCCCCTGCTGAATGCGCTGGTTCCGTACGTGTCGCTGATTGCGGACAACATTGACAAGGAGGCGTGGATGGATGATATGGGGAATCCGTTGGCGATGCAGATGGCGGGTGTCAGGAATATTGTGCAGGCCTGCGAGGAGGAGGGCGTGGATGGGAATGGACTGAAGTACTTGCTGGAGTTGATGGAGCGCGCGGTGAAGGATGGGTTCGGAGGTGGTGGTGTGCCGGCTGTTGGCAAGTATCTGTTGGAGTGAAGGTAAAATCCTGACAAGGCGGGAAGTGAGACGGATGGTTGGGATTTGTAGTTGGGGCTCGCTTTCTGACTCTGAGACTGGAGGGGCCCAATGTCCCATCGGGAAGTCGTGTACGGTACTTCGTCGTTCTCATCGTAGCAGCTCATCAAAAGATTCGCTCGAGTCTCGAGTTCCAAGTCCTTTGGCAACCGCAGCAACTCCTTAAGGGATTCTTGTTCAGAGCCATAACAGAAGTTGGAAACAAACGGGCAATGTACACGTACAAACGGCAATCACATTCCCAGACTCTTTGCTCCCAAAGGAGGATTTTGACTGGAAGATGAATAGGGGCTTGGGCCAAGCCACAGGAGGGTTTCAAGTGCATTTTGTGGCTCGCCAACCCCAGGTGAATCCATGGCTCCCAATAACGACGTAGTTGGCCATCCACGCACTTCCTTTTCCAATGAAACGCCTGCTCATATTGCTGCGTACGTGCTCACCTTCTGACTGGCGCGCTTAGTGCCTGGTCCAGCGAGGTCGTAGTACGTCGCTCACCTCGCTGTGTGGTGCATTGATTGCTACATGTCCACGGTAATCAGCAGCCCGATGCCGTGCCGTGTCACATTCGTCCGGGCGAGCCGACGGTTGATGCCGCGGGGACAAGGGGTCGGAAGGGTTGAGCAGAACATCTTAATTGAATGGCAGATTCCTTCTCAGTTGAAGACATGAAGAGAAAGCCAAGGGCGGGCCCGACATGAGTTTCATGTAAAGAAGACGGCAGGCATGAGGGTCGGAAGTCTGAGGTCTTCGAGAGGAAGGCACGCCTGGGAAGTGATGACGGATATGTGATGCGAAATTGACGCTTGATGCTGATCAAGTATGTACGGTAACTAATCAAACTATATACGATAATTGATGGCTTCGTCCAGAGCCAGCTCCGAGATGCCTCTTCCTCCGAGTCACTCCGGTATCAACTCCTTAACTCCCAACCGCCTAATCCTGCATCCCTTAGGTGCAGCTGGTGCTGAGGTTGCTGACCTTGCAGTAGGTGCCGTCAGGTCCGCTGCCGATCTTGGTGGGCTCCTTGCCGCTGTTGTTGCCCGTGTAGCGGTCGCAGGTCTTGCCGTCGTCCTGGCAACTGTTGGTGATGGTGCACGTGTCGCCGTAGTTGGTGTTGATGCCGCACAGCACGCCGCCGTCGACGGCGACAATGTTGTCCATGACGACGTGGCGGGCCCCGCCGTTGTTGGAGCAGTTGCCGCAGCTGCGCGCCACCTTGCCGTAGTCCTTAACGTAGAAGTTCTTGATGTTGACCGTCCCGAACCCGTTGAACTGGAGCACCTTGTCCGAAGCGTGGAAGGCGCCGCCGCCAATCACGTACGACGTGCCGCTCGACTGCTTGAAGGTCCTGCGGAGGCGTCAGTAAGAGAGTTTCGGGTGATGCTCAAGGAAGAAGGCCTACATGGCATCCTCGCAGACATCCTCCCACCAGACGTTGATCAGGGTGCAAGTGCCCTTGCAGTGGACACCCTCAGCCTGGTTGGGGCCAATGATGACCTGGCATGCCGTTAGTCAATCTTCATCAAAACCATAGCTGGCGTTTCAAGACGTACGTTGGACAGAGTCGCGCCGTTCTCGAGGATGAACATGGCATCAGCCTCGCCCGTCTCGGACTGGCCCTGGCAAGTGGCGGCTGCTCCCTGTTAGCGGGCCGTCTTTTCCCCCGGAGAACGAAGGGAGCTGGAACATACGGGAACGGTCAAACTTCTTCATGCCGCCGTCGTAGCTCTGGCCGGCGGGGACAACGATGGCAGCCGACGTGGAAGTGGCGCCTGCGCTCTGGGGCAGCGTCGTCGTCACGCCAGAGGGCACCACCACCGTGGCCTTGGTCGTGGTGACGAGGGTGGTGGGCTTGGAAGTGGCAGCAGTTGTCGTTGGCTTGGCAGTCGTAGTCACCTTGGCAGTCGAGGTTGGGGGCGCGGCGCCGCCTGTGTAGTAGCACGAGCACTCCTTGGAGAGCAGGCTCGGCTTGTTGCCGCAGTTGGTGGCCCACGCGGGAAGACCGGTCGTGGCTGTCACCTTGCTCTGGGTGAAGGTGGCGCAGAAGGGCGAGGCCGTGGCCGCGTTGGCGCTGATGTAGCTGGCGCAGGCATTGCTCTCGGGGTTGAGGCACCCGAGGGCGACCGGCAGGAGGCCGAGAAGGGCGTAGTGGTACATGCTGTCTGATGTTCAAGTGCTGGCAGGCTCTGGGGTTCGAGGCTCGACTTGATGCTAACCTTGGAAGTCCGGGTCCGTCGAGTTGTCGAGCTTGAATGCTTCCTTATTATATCTGCCATCTTCCAAGCCTTGATGTCTTGGTATCAGAATCCACCACGGCGGTTTACCTTGATAGACGTCGGCTAGGCTCGCCGACGTCAACGCTGATCCCGTTTCTCCACCACTCATGTCCGATGTTTCATGCTCTCTTGGCGCGGAGGCCACCGCTTGCCGCTAGCTCCGGGATTTGAAGATAGGAGTCGCGTACCCAACCCGGTTACCAGGTTGCCTTTGCAGCCCCTGAATGCTTGAGACGCGTGGCCACAGCGCGGGGTAAAGGCCTTGCTTGAGCCTCCCTCTTGGCTTCTGTCTGCCGTTCTCGCTTATGGTTTGTGGAATCATGCTGGAGGGTGACAACGACGACGGCAAAACACCAAACCACGGACTGTCTCCTTCCTCGGTCGCCTTCCGGTTACTTCGAAGAGCCGAGAGCCTCATCAGGCGAGTGGAGATCGCGGACGTGCAGCTGCACCCCAGCCCACCGTTGCAACACCATGACAAAAGTGGAATGTGGGCCGACCAAGTGGGACGGAGAATCAGACGAGCCCCATAAGCCCACCAATCAGGATGACCAATATCTCGCAAGCCACGCTGCAACCCGAATAAGGAATGGGCCTGAGACTGAAACAGAGCAAACAGCGCCCGCCAAGTTGTCCCTTTAATTTGACAGCATTCGTTCTTGGCATTGATATCTGATCCCTCTGCCTGGTGTAGAATCCACGACGCCTGGGAGCAGTTGACTGATGGAGGCTCGAGAAATGTACTGTAAGAGTTGGGTTGTTTCTATGGGCTTCGTCTGAACGCTGTCTGTCCGTGACAAGCGATTGCAGTCTCACCAGGTATCTGGGATCTCAAGTACACAGGGACTGTCTCCTGGTCCTGAGACTCAGCTGAGAGCTCATCGACTGGAGCTGCCTGGTGACTCCGGTCACCAACAGAGCCGACTGCCGAAGCCCAATGATGCCGTAAAGCCCGTCCAATCCTGTTGACCCCTTTCTTTACCCCTACTGCTACCCATCTAGCATCGTAGCCGTGCTAACAGATAGGAGAACGACGAACGTCAAGAGCCAGAACCGCCCGCATGAAACGATTTAGCAAACTTGGCAAGCCAACGTCTATGAGCCGATGCTCCTCAATCCACCGTCTCCATCACCTTGCGATAATATCAAACGATAGTTCCCAATTTTCCCCACGGGATCCTGAGAGTCCGGATTCTTCCAAAGAGCCTTCGCCTTGAAACCCGCGTATAAGACGACGAAAGATTTCAGTGATCCCAACGCCGACACGCCGTAGCAACATTCCAACCATGCCGCGATGATCCCAGTCTCCTCATCACAAAAACTGAACACAATTAGGGCTTGCCCTAGGTGGTTTATGGTCAGGTCCACGAGATTGGAGACGTTATAATGGTCAGCCAAGACGTACAGCCTTGCGTGCTGGAGCACGACCTTGACGTTGCAACTCAATGTATCTCCGGAATGATAGACCCCGCGCTTTTGGAGGCGGTTAGCTAGACGGATGAACTTTGTCCAAAATCCATCCTTGGAAGAACGCGCTGAGTCTGAGTCTGAGTCCCACTCGAGTACCGCCCTCGATCTTGGTGGCGTGGAATACAGAATCCAACGCTTCATTTTCCCTTGGCTCACAATCCAGAGCAGAATCATCCTCGTGGGCGGGTTCGGCTGTGGCGTCATAGCGACCAGTATACATGTACTCGGTGAAGAGAGCAAAGGTTGCCCCATCCCGTGTTCCAACACGGCATGTCCATCTTGAGCCTCCCTATACTCGCCGTTGACAAGGGCTTCCAAGGCGGGGAATTGACGGACCAGAAGTGATGAGTGAATCGTAAACTCGCGCCTTTTTATTAAAGGGTATAAGTTATAAGGTAAGAGAGATTATTATATACGTTAAGGTATTTTTCAGTAGCTAGCTTAACCATAGTAAGTAGGATTCAAGGCATTAATAGTTCGGTATTCAATAATATTACTAGGGAACGACGGTAAACCGGAACGGCTTAGACGGTCCGATGCTGATTAAGACGACAGCGATCAGCCCGACTCTCGTTGCGCACTCGGTTTATCCAAGCGTTGAATAACTTACTCTTCCCATGCCAACGTCTTGCTCATTTGATGCGAAACGCAGTCGAGGCTGCCCTGTCGCGCTGAGGAATTGAGAACGCCAGTTGTTGTGTCGATAATCGGGGAAGAAATTGAATCAGCGCGGCACAGTCAATGCCGGTGTTGAATGTCAGATTTGTTGCGCGGTTGTCAACTGGGAGCACAATTGGAGACTGGCAGGTGGAATCCGTGCAGGATCATTTCCAGTTCGACAGGACAAAATTTTGAAGACCTGGCGGTGATCTTGCCAGTGGATCGCTTTTACGGTTTGCAGAGGAAAGAGCGATCGGTCCCAGGACAGATGGAACAGTGTCGGTTGCCAGCGTGCAAGCTTCGAATTCCTTTGCTCCAAAGGATTTGGAATACAAGGCCAGCTCACAGCTTTGAGCAGTTGCAGATCATAAACAACCCAAACGGTGATATCCGTTACTGAGCGGAAACTGCGGTAGCCCCATCCCAGCCGGCTGAACGCGTGTTCAATTATTATCAACTTCAGGCGCCCTGTCACAGTCATCCACGGCATGAACCTGCAACCAACTCTAGAGTCTTCGACACCCCACCTGCCAAAAATAACGGTCATGGCAGCTACTGCTACCCGGCTTCCTTGAATTGACAGTACGGGGCGCCTGCAGCGTATTGGTGCTGGAGGTATGGCGGGTGGTCAGGGAGGGGGGAGATGAAATTGCAGCTGGACACTGAGCAATTGGAACAACGATGCATATGTACGGAGTATTCTGGCTCGACATGGAAGCAGAGAACCAAGGAAAGGGGTAGTGGGGGTCGTCAAGACGAGCTGGGCCGACAGGCTGGGCGGGATTCCGGCCACTGAGCCAACGAGGAGCATGTACAATGTAACTTACCTTAGGTCACTGGCATGCCACCATTGGGCTGTATCATAGAAGGACACTCCGTGAGCAGGAATACACCTAAAACTGAGCCGTCAATTCAGTTCCAACAACCGACGAAGTTTACTATTACATCGGTCCTGCGCTTCCAGTCTTTCTACCAGTGATCCAAAGACAGGCAAGGAAATTCGCTGTAGTCCTGCAACAAGTCCTTGAACTCTTCCTTCCCCCATAGCAATTCGACATTGTAAGCCGCAAGTAAGACCACAAGCGATCTCAACTTCTCGGGTACAGGAGAAGCGTAGCAGTAGCGCACGGGGTCCGCAAAAAGATCCAACAAACGGATAGAAGGCCGGGAAATGCACCAGCTCGTGCCCTAAATAGTGAAGCGCAAGCTGGGCTAAGTCGGGAATGTCATAGCAGTCGGCGAATACAAAAAGACGTGCACGGCGGAGAAGACCGATGTTGCTTTGGTGCAGGGGATTGTCGGTTCCCGTGCTTCGCATGCGATGGGATTCTGGTGCCGTGAAGAGTGCCTTCAGCCTGAAGTTTCCCAACAACGGTGTATTCATTCGCGGCGGTGCCCCCTCGGGCTCTTCTTGGTCGGTGTTGTCCTCGAACTTGTCCTCCACCGCAGAATGCTCGTAGTTCCCAGTGTACGCAAACTGAACGAAGCAGACGAAGGTTTCCTCGTTAACTTTCGGCAATGTAGCGTAGCCGTCAGTTGCCTCCCTGAATTTGTCGTTGTTGATGAGCTTGTCGAGCGCAGCCGATTGATCCTCGACAAGGGCAGAGTGGACGGTAGACTCGCGTTCTTTTGGGCCGACGAGGAAGCGAAATGGTTTCGACTATGCGACCCTGGATTGTAAATCAGACTACAAACTCATACGCCAGGAAAACAAAGAGAATGATAAAGAGATAGAGGAAGAGGAAGAAGAGGACGACGAAGAAGAAGAAGAAGAGGAGGAGGAGGGGGAGAGTAAAAATGTTCCTCTTCTTGGAAAACCACTGGGCATAAATTTCCACCTGAGAACATCCATTGTGAGGCTGAAGATACGATTCAAGCTCACTGTGGTTATTCTGCGCTTGTTCTGAGCTGCTTCGTGGGAGGTGGCGGAGATCGACTGACGGGAGCGGGTTTGTTGTTGATCGTTTTTGTTGCCATTAACGTCCGGGCAGGGAAGGCCAGCGGGCAGCAGCCATTCAATCTAGTGTCTTATGAAGAGATGGACGACAAAGGAATACGGAGTCTAAATTGAGAGAGCCTTTGGCAAATCGATTGCTTTAAAAACACGATTGGCAATCTTCTGACAGCTCGGGCACCTGCTAGAGAGCCTACAGTAATGCATGGTGCTCACAAGGATTAGTGAGCTTGCAGATCTTTAAGGTGAACTGTTTGTTGTCCATACTGTGCAATTTCTGATTGCATAAAAAGGGGAACCTTAGGCAGAAACCTCAATCAACCCTCAGGAACCTGCTCCTTATACAGGATACACCATGATCTTAATTTTGCACAGCAGAGTGGATACCATGATACCTCATTAGTTCGAATCCAATGTTGTGTACGCACAAGTCCAGAGACAACAAAGCCATGTAAGCGTCAAACCAGAACGCAACCTGCTGATTATTACTGAGAGATATGCCACTGTTGTATATGTTTCGTTGGGGGCCGCCCGCGCAGGCGGCCGGGCATCGCAAAAATTGGAAGACAGGTCCTTTGCGACTTGGTCTTTCTTTTCCAAGGGGTTGCAGCTCCGCGCAGCTACTGCGCGGCCTGTTGGCGACCGAAGACGTCGATTTCGAGGATCAGAAGTGAGGTTTCCGAGCGCCCGGAAATCCCTCACCACCCCGCCTGACAACTGCGACTTACCGACACCAACGACAAGAACAAGCTGCAACAAAGTTTGCAAGATTAGGGGGATACTGGGTACGAAAACCACCCGACTCTTTCGACGTTCTGAAGAAGAGACAGGGCACCCCCGGCCCTGCCCAGTTCTGGGAGAGCGAAAGTCAAGAGTCTTGGCGGCAAAACCGACCGGTGAGACGACGCTACGAGGACTGGAGCGAAAGCCTTTGTACGACTCCGATTGCAAGAGTTGTTAATCGACCGAGGAGAAGGAAGGTGACGGGTTCGTTAAGGGGAGGCACACGGGCGGCCGGCCTTCCTGCGAGGCGCTTCGCCCTCTTGACAAACAGCACACTACAAAAGGAGGAACTCCAATAGTGGATCAGGGCAGGTTAGTGGCAGTGCGATGGAGGGAGCTGCGCCGGTGTGGCAGCTTTTTCGACGGCCTGCTGCAAGACACGGTCGGCACTGCGGCTTCGGCCTCGTGGGGAGACCCTCGCGGTGCAACGGGAAGCTGGAAGTCGGGGTTGCGCCCGGCGGAAGGTGGGCCGTGGCGGCTATGCTGGACCGAGGGGAGGGCAGTAGAGTTGCGGTCCCGGCTCGCACCCGGGCCACAGGAGCGAAACAGTTGTTGCCTCGGCGGGGGACCTGTTAGACTGTACGCGTGGCTAGGCCACGTCCCTTGTTTCCGGGCGCAGGTTACAGTATGGGATGAAGCCGCGGATGGATTGCACCGGGTATGGGTGCCTCGGCTGTGGAACAAATGTGGGGTGTCGCCGCCGCAAGGAAGCTGTAGCTCCGAGGAGCAGTGTAGCTGGCCGGAGAGGACGGACGCGCGTGTCGGTTCTCCAAGAGAGAGGGGGCTTTGCAGATGCCAAGTACCCGGCTCGCACCCGGGCCCCAGCCCTGCGCAGGCTGCTGTGGTGTCGCCTACGAAGCTCTGTAAGGTTTTGCCTCTTGCGGAGGGCTTAAGGTGCAAACCTTAGGGTCCCGTGGCCGAAGAGGTCCGGTAGGGAGGTCTGGCCTTGCCTCTCTGACTAGGTTGCCCTACGAGGCAGGTCTGTGCAGCTAGTTAGCTAGTTCGTAGGGAGAACAATCTAGGGACTCTAAGGCCAG